AGCAATACAGAAATAATGATCAGGTAGTGCTGAATACCACAATGTTATGATAATATATCATGATAATATAAATAACAACAAAAGGATACTATAGGTAAAGTATAGAGCTATTTTAATGAAACAAAAAGAAACGAAGATTTTGTTTTTAATAATAGAATTATTACTCTTGATATATTGATTGAAAGCGTAGGTACCAGGTGCAAAAGTTAATTTTCATGTTTATTTTAGTTTGATTTTTACTTGTGTATTTGAAATTACGTTGAATTTTAAAACGTCAGTTTCAGCCAACTTATATGTAATATTTGAGAAAATTGCTCAACCTATCTATTTACTCGTATATTTTTTTAGAAGCACGTGTGATTAAAATAAATAAACCGGGAGTGATCTCCCCTAAACTTTCTCGAATATTTTTATATAAAATAACAGGGGATGGGAACTCGGGCTATAGACATGACTTTTAATCCATTTTAAATACTTAAAGTTTTAAAAATAGAATAAAATCTCGTAGACAAATTAATTGCACACCAAGTGAACGCGAAATAAAAAAGCGCATAATAGTGCGCAATATTATTAGTACTTTTAAAATTTACATTAGTTTTTTGAGAAATCGGAAGTAGCGTAAATTACTACTTCCGGTCAACGGAAATTACTCAAAATTTAACAGAAGGTAGAGAATTAGATCTTTTACTTACATGTGAAATTTCATTTATCTATCTGAAATAGTACTCAAGTTATAGGCTTTTGAAAAATTCAAAGTAGAAAAAGTACCACTTTCGGTTATCGGAAATCGCTCAAAAGTTGATACGAATCTACGATTTTGATAAAATACTTATATATGAAATTTCATCAACCTAGCAGTAACGGTTCTCAAGTTATCGTGTTTACACACGGACACACAGACACACACACACAGACATACGGACAAGATTGCAAAATTATGTTTTTCCGTATCAGTGAGGTGTAAAACGTCGAGATTTGTAAAAATCTCGATTTTTTTTTTGCACGATTACAATACTTTCTGTATACTACGTATATTCGAGAAAGTAAAAAAGAATGAACCAAAAAATTAACGAAAAAAAAAATTGAAACACTGATTTTTAACTCAGATTCATAACCAGCAAAGTGATTCGTGTGATAAATATTACTGCAAAAGTAGCAGTTGAAAATTTTGCTTACATATATGGTAGAAAATAAATTAGTATCGGAACATAGACATATTATGTAACACAAGATTAAGCATTGTACCCAGACCTAAAACGTTATACTTGAAAATCATTTCTTTTATATTCATCCTCATATTATATGGTATTTTTAGGCAACAAACCACAACACTATGTAATACTTCAAATACTTTGATTTTCTAAATGTAAGTTATGAGAATCGTATAGTATTTAATGCAATCACTTGTTAAATCTTGATTTTAAACTTTGTTTGAAAAAAAAAATTATTTTGTGATAAGGAAAATTATTCCGCCATGCATCTAAACTTTCAAGGAAACAACATATCAGTAGGCTCTCTTTCTCAACCAAGGAGAAACAAGAAAGCGAAAGACCCGGAGACAGGGTCTTATGGACAAACTTAAGACAGTGGGGATGTCTTAGGAGACGATAAACTACACATCCTGGGACGGGACGAAATGGAAGACAATGGTTGAGACCCTATGTTACACACAATGTAAAGCCGACTAAGTCAAATTTCATTCCAATTTTCCAACATGGTAAAAATGTTTGCAGTATTAAAGAAACCATCGGCTATGTTTTATAACAACGCTTTAGACTACCACAATACAACTTATAACATAACAATAGACTGCCCGTTGTGTATTAAATGATACGTGCACAGGTTCTATATTGGGACGGAGTGGCCTAGCGTTAGAGAGCTGGACCACAAGCTTGTAAGTCTTGAGTTCGAATCCAGGTTTAAGTCAGTAGACTGTCCCTAAGTCCACCCCGTTCTGATGGGTAACTAACTCATGTTAGGGATAGTAAAGGCGGCTGGACATAGTGCTGACCACACTATCCCTTCATATGCCGAGGTCACCGAAACAAGTGAACTCTACTTCACTTGCCCCGTAGACCGTCAGGTTTGAAAGGGAACTTTACAAGCTCTATACACAATAACAAAAATCGGGAGGGATGTGCGTAGTTAAATCAACAAAACACATAAACAACAACGTTAGACAAACTAAATTAAAACAACTAACATGCTGATTGACGAAGCAAACATTTCGACACGCGCATGTTAAATTACTGAAGACATCACGGCGAATTTGGTAGTCAAAGCACGCATGTGCTGGTCTATTAACATAACATGCACAACAGCTGATGGAGGCATGGTTTAGGTATGATAGGATGATGAGATAAGTGGATTTATGAATGTTGTCATTTCAATTATTTAAGACGGTAGAGAAAGTGGTTAGTAAGGGAATGGATTTAGGTTGAAAAAGGCAGTTAGTTAATTGAAGCAATGTTGAAGAAATGTAGGGTATGGCGTAGTTTTGTGTTGGTTTACAAATGCGGCTGTTGTCTTGATTCGTTCGACTTTTTTTCGTGAGTGGGTGGGTGGAAATATTTTGAAGTCGGGAGGTTCGAAGTAATTTGTTGTTAACGGTGAAAGTTCTGGATGGTAATGGGGTCGGGGATATTTTATGGTGATGGGATCGTTGGTATTTTATGACTTGGGTTCGGTGATAATTTATGTGAATGGGGTCAGTATAATTATCTGGGTATGGGATCAGTCCATTTTTCTGGTCGGGGAATTTTTACTAATGTTGGAGTCGGGGATATTTTCTAGTCTCTGGGTCCGTGATGTGTGTGGTAAAAGCATAGGTACTTTTTTCTGGTGATGAGGTCGGTACTAATAATTTTCTGGTGATGAGGTCGGTACTAATAATTTTCTGGTGATGAGGTCGGTACTAATAATTTTCTGGTGATGAGGTCGGTACTAATAATTTTCTGGTGATGAGGTCGGTACTAATAATTTTCTGGTGATGGGGTCGGTACTAATAATTTTCTGGTGATGGGGTCGGTACTAATAATTTTCTGGTGATGAGGTCGGTACTTATAATTTTCTGGTGATGGGGTCGGTACTAATAACTTTCTGGTGATGGGGTCGGTATTAATAATGTTCTGGTGATAGGGTCGGCACTATTTTCTGGTGATGAGGTCGGTACTAATAATTTTCTGGTGATGGGGTCGGTACTAATAATTTTCTGGTGATGGGGTCGGTACTAATAATTTTCTGGTGATGAGGTCGGTACTTATAATTTTCTGGTGATGGGGTCGGTACTAATAATTTTCTGGTGATGGGGTCGGTATTAATAATTTTCTGGTGATAGGGTCGGCACTATTTTCTGGTGATGAGGTCGATACTAATAATTTTCTGGTGATGGGGTCGGTACTAATAATTTTCTGGTGATGGGGTCGGCACTATTTTCTGGTGATGAGGTCGGTACTAATAATTTTCTGGTGATGGGGTCGGTACTATTTTCTGGTGATGAGGTAGGTACATTTTTATAGTGATGGGATCGGCCATATTTTTTGGTAATGGGGTCGGTACTATTTTCTGGTGATGGGGTCGGTACTATTTTCTGGTGATGGGGTCGGTACTTTTTTCTGGTGATGGGGTCGGAACTATTTTCTGGTGATGGGGTCGGTACAATTTTATGGTGATGGAATCGGTACTATTTTCTGGTGATGGGGTCGGTACTATTTTCTGGTGATGGGGTCAGTACTATTTTCTGGTGATGGGGTCGGTACTATTTTATGGTGATGGGATCGGCCATATTTTTTGGTAATGGGGTCGGTACTATTTTCTGGTGATGGGGTCGGTACTATTTTCTGGTGATGGGGTCGGCCATATTTTCTGGTGATGGGGTCGGTACTATTTTCTGGTGATGGGGTCGGTACTATTTTCTGGTGATCAGGTCGGTACTATTTTCTGGTGATAGGGTCAGTACTATTTTATGGTGATGGGGTCGGTACTATTTTATGGTGATGGAATCGGTACTATTTTCTGGTGATGGGGTCGGTACTATTTTCTAGTGATGGGGTCAGTACTATTTTCTGGTGATGGGGTCGGTACTATTTTATGGTGATGGGATAGGCCATATTTTTTGGTAATGGGGTCGGTACTATTTTCTGGTGATGGGGTCGGTACTATTTTCTGGTGATGGGGTCGGCCATATTTTCTGGTGATGGGGTCGGTACTATTTTATGGTGATGGGGTCAGTACTATTTTCTGGAGATGGGGTCGGTACCATTTTCTGGTGATAAGGTTGGCTAAATCTCTGTTAAGTGAACATCAGTAAGTTCCACTCTAATTACAACAATGATAGTTCGTTGTAATTACTGTCAAAATTGATATTTCTTGTATAATCTTTAAAACATTGAAGTCTAAACCTTGAACCCATCACAAAATGTAGAACCATAATCATGGCCTGCACTTGGCGTAAACAAAATAATGTCATTATTATAAAACCGGGCACAATAACAATAGTACGCATTAAATCGGTCAACTACCCACATTCCTAATGCATTTTTTTCTTATTAAATCGGTCAAATACACACTTTCATAAAGTACTTATTTACTTATTAAATCGTCAACTGCCCACATTTCTCAAGTACTTATTTTCCTATTAAATTAATCACCTACAAACTTTTCATAAAGTACTTTTTCACTTATTAAATAGATCAAATTTCTTACTTATTTAGTTTTTGAATCGGTCAACTGCCCACACTTCTTAAGTACTTATTTTCCCTTTTTTCCCGTCATCTACGCATTTTCCTAAAGTAATTGTTTTTTATCATCAACTACCCACATTCGTAAACTACTTATTTACGTATTATTATATCAGTCAAATAACCACATTTCTAAAGTACTTATTTTACAAATTACATCGGTCATATAACCACATTCCTCAATTATTTCTTTTCTTTTTAAATCGGCAAACTGCCCACTTTCTTAAAGTATTTTTTTTTCATTAAATCAGCCGTATAACTACATTCCTAAAGTGCTTATTTTTTTTTCATTAAATCGGTCAAATAACCACATTCCTAAATTATTTATTTTCTTTTTAAATCGGTCAACTGCCCACTTTCTTAAAGTACATATTTTTCTCCCTAAATCGGTCATATAATCACATTCCTAAAGTACTTATTTTCCCCCAAAATTAACGTAGTAAACACCACAATTCTAGAACGATGTCACTTTTTTGACAAGGCAGCACACCGAAGCTCCAGACGTTTGTCGCTAAGACTTTTTGGACCAGGCAAAACACGACAACTTAAGCACCGGGTCGGACCACCTACTGTTGTGAAGTCATACCTCGGTACACACCGTATAACCATGGGCGGTAATAGCTGCATGTCGAGATAGTTCAGCGTGTAGGCGTTGCTGTGTGTGTAGAGATAGACAGGTGTGTAGCTCATATTGATGTGTGTGTGGGGAGGGGGGAGGGGCGGCAGATGCGCATATGTCATGGATATGTATGTCACGCATTTTAAAATCGAGTTCATGTTTGGTAGCAGTAGAGTTTCATTCAGGCATCTCTCCATGGGGAGGGGGAAGAGGTGGGCGAGGAGTAGGAGACTATGTCCATCGCTTCTCGGACGAAATAGAAAAACAAGTTAATAAAAAGTCTAGTGACAATTTAAGCGCAATTTCCTTAATTAATTTTTTGTGACCGAACGAAAGGATATTTTTGAAAACTTTCTTCGGCAATATTGTTCTAAATTATTACAGGAATCGATGGGTAAATGTTTCAAGTCGCTAAGTGTTCTGGTTGCCGAGATATAAGCCACAAACTGCATTTTTTCGAGTTTTTTTGGCTTTTGCGGAAAATCCAGGAAGGAATTCCGGGAAATTTTTGGCCCACAATCATCCTCGGAACTTGCTTAACATAATTGCTTTTGGAACTAGTCCTCGATATTGCTTCGTTGAGGAGGAGATACGACTTAAAGCTGCGGACACACATCGGACACACATCCATCCAGAACGAGTTAATAATCGCAATTTTCCGTATGGAAATTGCGCTAAAAAGTATAATGTATGAATATATATATATATATATATATATATATATATATATATATATATATATATATATATATATATATATATATATATATATATATATATATATATATATATATATATATATATATATATTTAAACATAGTATGTTGATATCACATTTTCCATTTCATCTGTCTACCCAATTCTCACTCATCCCCACCCCACTCCCCCGACCCACACTGCTATCACTTTAACGACGTAATATATAATCTTACTGACAGTCGTTAGTAGTGTAGATGAAGTAGAGTTAACCACTTTTTTAATTCTATGTTATTAAAGCATTCATCGTAAACTATGATTTTTAAAAAAAGAACGTATTTGTACCACTGCTAACCCGAAAGTCTCGAGCTCGTATCCTGTGATTATTTTTAGGGTATTATGTGTTCATAGGACAAAACCGCATTTAAATTTCGTGTGACTCTGACCAGGTACCTATTTTAGCTGGTTAGACTCAGGTATTTAAAAACAGACCCGATCCTTGTCTTCCCAATAGATACGGTATCTCTTGACCTTGCTAAACATACAGCAGGTGAAGTAGAGTTGGTCTATTTTCAAAGCATCCGGCGTTCTTTTATTATTGTTTTTTTTTTCTCCAATAACTGTCGCGTACTTGAAAAGAACCGAGCATGCTCTCCGTCGATCCACAAGCAATCCTCAATCGAAGAGGTATTTGTCACCAGAAACTATTTGCCATTCTTTGTATGACTAGGATTCGCCTAAAAAAAAATGTCTAATAGTATTAATAACAAACTCTGTCCGTTTGACAGTTTGATAAATCGTTGTTGTTTTTTTATCTAGACATTTGTGAACACCATGTCAGTTGTCAAAGCACACCTATAATTTATTACAACATACTCAGGAAAATTTGTTTCTTTAAATATATATATTTTTTAAATACTCCTTATGTTTCTACTTGACAGAAAAAAACTACTAATAGTCATGGTAACTAACTCTTTTCCGTTTTACAGTTTGATACATTTTTACTTTCTCGTATGTATGAAGTATAGAGAAAGTCTTGTAATGTCTGTGTGTGTGTGTGTGTGTGTGTATGTATGTCTGTGTGTCTGTATGTCTGTAAACACGATAACTTGAGTACCGTTACAGCTAGGTTGATGAAATTTCATATATAAGTATTATATCAAAATCGTATATCCGTATCAACTTTTGAGCGATTTCCGATAACCGGAAGTGGACATTTTTCAAAAGCCTATAATATGAGTACTATTTCAGATAGATAAATGAAATTTCACATGTAAGTA